GACTGACAGACTCACACAATCGAAGGTGCGCCAGCTGCTGAGATAGTAATTCCGGTCGCATGTTCGCACCGGTAAGGGTATCTTGCTGTACTCCAGAAGCAACGGTTCACGGAACGGAAATGCCAGCATTGCCGGGTGTCATCCTGGAGCTTTGTCATAAGCCTCGCGAAGTGAGTCAACAATCATCATGAGATGTCGGTTCAGCCAACTTGCAGTCCAGACACACTTACACAAGTGCTTCAATTGACGCGATCGGGACCAAGGCAACACAGTTGTCTGTCGTTAGGCATGAAGATTTGTTCGGGCTGCCTTCTCATTCGTGCAGAGTGTGCATTGCCGTGCTGGGTAGCCGAGGTTGATTGGCTATCGATTTCGGTAGCCGTGGTGGTGTTGGTTCTATGGTTTGGCCTCGCCACAGAGGCGTCAAGCCTGCAGCAACAACTCGGCGTCTTGCAGGCCCAGGATGCAGTCCTGCAGCGGGCTGTACGGTTGGGTCACGTGGCTGCTTTTTACGAGGCGGTTGAGGCCGTCTGCACAGAAGAGAAGCGCTTCCGCTTGATTCTGTGCTTCTATCCGATGCTCCTTCTGCTCCGACTGTTCAAATCCTTCGCGGCACAGCCGCGCCTCGCCGTCGTCACAGACACCATAAAGTTGGCTTCTCAAGACCTTCTGCATTTTGGCACCCGGGCTTGCATGATGTGTGCAGGATCCACAGCCGCCTCACAAACGGCAGTAAGGTGAATGCAGGGATCGCATGGAAGAAGTTTATACGATGATTGTTTTAACTCCGAGTTATACATATATACACACATGTATGTGTATATATAGATATACACACACATAGATAGACTTTTACCGTTTTGCGCAGTTTGGTGCTTGCCAGGCATTCTCTGTAAATATGGGTCAGTCAGCCTCAACCATAGATCCAGAAGTGCCACGTTCTGATGCGGTAGTTGGAATATGTGTCGCCAGATCATCACAAGCCAAGTCTAGGTTCTGAAGCGAGACCTGGCATCTGCAGTTCGTGTGCGTGCATCTTCATCTTGCCTAGCCGTCTCGAGTCTCAGGCATCGTATCTGTCGCGGTGCTTGCGTGCCTTTGCTTGAACGCCGTCCTGCTTTTCGGACGAGACGAAGAAGCCTTCGGGAACTTGTTTCGGTCCTTGCACAGTGCCTTCCGAATGATGTTCGGAGACTGGGATTGGATGCCAATGGAACGGGTCAGTCGAACTGGCGCCCACCTTTGGTTTACCATGTTCATGGTTCTTGTGGTTATCATCCTTCTTAATATGCTGTTGGCCATCATTCTCGACAACTATATGGATGTCAAACGAGTGTCGGCGAGCGCCGACTCACTGGGGGCTCAAATGACGGAGATGTATCGCAGACGAAAAATGCTAAAACGCAAAGAACGGGTGCGTCTCAACGATATTTGGGATAGTTTCGTGGCAGAAGCCAGTGGCCGCCCAAAGATCGCACTAGCGACCGACCGGCAGATCACAGCTGATAAGCTGCAGCAGATCGTTCCGGGCATTCCTCACTCCCAAGCATCCCGCACTTTGCAAAACTCTTGGTTGGCTCATCTGAAAGCAACCACAGCGCCGTTCGAGTTGAAGCATTCTTCTCGTCACCTGGCGGCTTTTGAGATGGAGACGCGGAAAGTGCGAAACGGCTTGTTCTTCCTCTTTGATCGCTTGGACTTCTACGACACGCGGTACGACGGCGAGGGTGCAGAGAAGGACCGAGAAAAGGCAGATGGCATGGCATCACAGCCGAACAGCTCGATCCTTAAAAATCCGCTACTGATCTGATAGTGCAATCAGTTGGGCTCCTCCAGAGCTGTCTGTCTTTTGTTCGTTGAGGTCAAGATATTCAGAGGCTCCGACTTCCATTTTCGCTTTGATGGGGTCGGTTTTGGGTTGGCTTCGTTACTCCGCTGTTTGCTCGTCTACGTGACCTGTAGACTGTCTACGGTAGCTTTTTGTTTCCCTCTGACGGAATCCCGGAATCCCTGTAGTAGAACCCAGTAAAGTGATCGTCAATACAGTAAGAAACGCTCGGAGGAGGAGAAGGAGCATCTGCAATCATTCCGAAACTGCAGCCCTGAGCACGGCCGCGGAAATGGGCGCGCCAACATAGGGACACAGAAACTGCCGAGTGTGACCGAGTTGTGTGGCGCGTAACGCAAATCACCCCCAACCAGCAGAGCACTCACGCACCCTCGAATTATTGGTAACATTCCAGCAATAACTGCAAGAGTTATGCTGAGGGAAGGTGAAGATGAGTTGTGAAGCTGTATGCTCATTTCGTCTTAGCTGCTGCACTGCGCAGTGCTGACCACCTTGCATGTATTGAAAGGGTGTAGATTCAAGGTACCCTTCCAGAGCATCACTGTGGCATTTCGATACTTGTAGGTCATGAAACCTATCCTCTATCAACACGTGGTGCTGGACAATTCCTCTGATCTGCCATGCTTTTCGTGAGGATTGGGTGACATACCGGTACCAGGTTTTAGTTGGCACATGCAGAAAAGTCGGAGTGACGACTTCAACTCAGACTATAATTCGGACATGGGAGGTCTCCGGTTCGAGATGACCAAGGTGGCTGGTAGGCTTCCATTGCCCTCTGCGAAGGAAGGCCTCGTTGGAATTCAACGCCCACATCATGTGGTGTTGCCTCGCTAGGATGCTCAAATACCTCCTCCGTCGCCAAGGGGTAGGTCAGGTAGGGAAGAGGCACACTGTTTTCAAGACCAGTGGCGGAAACAAATCCCATGCCATACCACAATCTCTTGTCATCCTTGAATACAAAAAACACTACAATAACCCAAGCACCAGTGTTGGAGGCATCATAGCACGGCCTGAAACCGCTCGACTTGCTGCAATCAACTTCAACCTTTGCGAAACTTGAGAAGAAGTCGTGCTGCGCTAAAACACGAACTCGCCAGCTCAGGCAACTAATATAAGTCACTGGCTGCCTTACCTGAATTCGAGGACTGTTTCCTCAAGGCTATCTGCACCTCCTACATTGACCCAGTCGAATGCAGGAGGCAAAGCATTGGCTGCAGAGCCCCCGAAGTTGAGAGCCTCGTCAGGTGCCGCTGCGAAAAGCTTGTTGGAAACAATGCGCGATTTAGGAGAGGACTTTCAAAAAATGGTGGGGCCGCGGTTCCACGCTGTGCACAAGCAAGCACAGCAGGTCATGGCCCCATTGTCAGAGTCCTGGGTGCAAAATGTCTTTGGCAAAGAGCTGGGATCAGATAAATGTAGCGGCATGAAAAAGGAATCGCAACAGCAACAGCAACATAATCCATTTTGTAATTGCTAGAGCTAGGGCGACAACGTGCCTAGCTGCTTGCCTGACCCGGGTTTCCCGGAGGATGCGCAAATCTTCCTATCCACTGCTCTTGTTAGGCCAGCCGAAGTTGAAATCAGCCAGGGCTGAACCCTGCCTTCCAAGGCTGAAGCACTCAACCCGAATTCATCCCCGAGGTTCGAGGCACTTTGAGGCCGAACTGAAGCACGAATGCGGCCCGCAAAAACAATTGTCGGGATTATCCGTGCACTTGGATCCACGGATAACACGCAGCATGGCGACTCTCGCAAACCCTCGCGAGGATCTGTTTGAGCAAACCTGTGTTGAGCGCAATAACTCAAACCCAATCCGTACTGCATTTTCCAAATGAGTTTCCTTGCCGAACAGGACTGGGGCAAGTCGTTCGTAGGGCATGCGTTGCCCATGCTTTCGGAAATATAAACCGTAAATCTGGCCCATGTGCTTCGAGGGCACCGCCAACCTTGGACTTGTTTCGTTTGAGCTTGTTTTTCGCCAAGGCAGAACGCCCTCATTCACTTTGGGCTTGCCACACCTGACTCCAGATTGAACCCTGCATGGCATCCCGCGCACTCCCACACTTGCAACTTTTCTCGATCAGCGAGATTCGGATTGTCGGTGTCCCCTCATTCCCCTTCACAGAGTTTTGCGGCACCCTCAGACGTGGTGGTAGGCCTCGAAGCGAACTTCACCTCGCCCGTGTTGGTGCCTTTAGACTTCTGTCCATGCTTCTAGACAGTCAGCTACGATTTCGTTAGGCTCTCCCTTCTAGTTTCTGTTTGTTCAAGTCTCGGCTCACAGTGGCTGTGGGTTCACCTAGCGAGATTTTAAATCAGAGAGCCACCAAGTGTCGGCAGCGACAACCCCGGATTCGCAGCGCCATGATTGGGCATTTTACACTTGTGTCCAATCCATGACTAGCGTACAAGATGAAGCGAGTTTGAGCTCAGGCTATCTGCGTGCGAAAACTTTCGGCAACAGAAGTGTCAAAACCTTCCGGGATGCGTGTTGGCATACTTGTCTTGCGATGTTCATTGACTCACACCGTCAGCCGTCAGAGACATTGAGGATGAAGACCGTTTTGTCATGCAAACGAGCGCCCATGGTAGATTCTGGCCAAGGCCCCAAGCTGCGAGCTGCCGACTCCGGGCGAACCTCCGCTCGCTCGGCTCGCTCAGCTCGCTCTGCACGTTCTGCCAGGGATTCTCCGGCAGGGGGGGGCCCCTCCGAGATGGAGCAGGAGATCCACATGCAGATGCAGCGTCTGAGTGTTGAAGCCGCAGAGAAGTTAGCCACGGTCTTGAGCAGTGTCGACAAGACCCAGGGCCGGATTGAAGAGAAGCAAGCGGTAATCCAGGGAAGCTTGCGCGACATGCTTCAGGTCCTCCTGCAGCTGCAGTCCCTGGCCAGCCAAATCTCTAGACGTTTGGAAGGCTTCGGCCATCAAAAAAAGTCTTTTCTCGGTCTGTTTTCTTTGCCAGAGCGGTGATGCTTTGAGCTCCATGTACATACGTCCCTGCAAAGGAGCTCTTGCAGAGATGTCACCCCTAGAGCCTAGAGCCTAATACAGGCACTTTGCGACATCCGTGCCAGCAGCCATCTGGGGAAACGGCGCTTATGCATCGGTGATGCAGGACACTTGCCATGACACAGCCTTTGCACACTCAGGAGTTGGCCTACTGGTGAAAAATACACTGGCCAGTGGGAGACCAAGTGAGAGTTGCATCAGATTCGGAAGACCTACAAGTGCACCAATCTGAGGTTCTTCAAGGGTGTCTTCCATGGCCGAGGGACCCGATCATGGCCCAACGGGGACAGTGCCGTGGCTGGCGAGGAGTCATGGCGGTCTGGGTGGGTGCTTCTTGATCTTGCAAGGCTACACCGGAGAGTTCAGACACGGCGAGCCGGATGGCGCCTGGTACCAAGGATTGACCGGCCTTGGTTGCCACCTGTCTTGCCCCGTCTGGTGGGTTTGCGGTTGCAGCTCAGGAAGGCAAGTTTGAAAGTGCTGCGGAAGGCTGCGGAGTGCAGTAGATCTGATGTTGGCGCAAGTGCTCGGATTGCAGGCTGGGTTTACACTGGTCACTGGATCCATGGCGAGATGCGGCGGGCATACAACCTCGGATTCTATTCTCTTGGCTGTTCTGTTGGTTGTGCGTGTGACATAACCTTGTCACCATCACGCCATGATGTAGCTCTAAGGTGTGGCAATGGGCAGAAAACTTTGCCTGATGGAGTCGTTTATGCTACAAGCTAAGAGAGGTTGCGCAAGTTTCCTGCTTCTAAACGAGCGTTGCCTTTTGCCGCTACAAGGTGGGGGAGTGGAGGCAAGGATGCCGGCATGGGCATGGATGCGGCCGTCTCAGAACTCCAGCTGACACGTGTCCTGCATAACGCGTTTGCGCCACGCTATGTGTCGTTTCTGTCAAAACAGACCAGGCCTTACCTGGCCGAGCGGTGCTTGTTACGAGGGGCAGCCGGCTCCTGAACTTGTGAAAGATACCCTGAAAGCCTCTGCCTTGCATGCAGACTTAAACGGAGTGGCCCCAAGCTGTCCCGATCCTTACCGCGTTGAGCGTCGAGGCGTATGGATACAACGTATGAAGACTAGCTTTCCCAGCAAAGATCACCGAGGTATGCAGATAGCCGGTGAAGTGAGGCACCTCAATGACGAACCCGCAACCCCTTGTTTTCACGGGTAAAGCCTTATCAGTTGACACTGCAGGGACAGGTAGGCGAGTCATAGCTGTGCCTTTTACAGTAAAGGGGGTTGCCAGCATTGCATCCAACTTAGAATTCCCTCTGCGCCGGTATGACCTGGAACACCACTTATGCCACACCACTCGCACACACCGCTACATATGCAGATTTATACACGCATACAGTACACGCATGCGATCCATGTAAACCATGCTAAACCTACCCCGCATTATGAAGGTAATATATAATAGAACCAGTTACACAAACACACTGCCAAATACATATGCCATGCAAACGTTGCTCTGCAGCGAAGGGTTGTTTGGAAAGCAGCCTGCTTAGACACATATACAACGCGAGCACATACACAACTTAGGGACACACGCACACACAACACGCGGGGGCGTCGCAGCATGCCTGTGCAAGAAGCTGGGCACGTGCAATTCTTTGCCTTGATGCGAAGGTTTGTCGACGACTGCATGGAAGGCTCGCATTCCTGTTGCCGGAAACCCATCAAGTGCCAGCTGTCAGGGCGTGGTCGAAAAACCTTCGCTGATGGGAGTTGGTGTGAAATGCTGGCCGGTTTGTTCTCAAGTCCTTTGAGCTTCGTTTCGGACAATGTCAGGAGGGTGAGTTCAAAGACGGCGAACTGGAAGGCGCCAACCCGGTACTGCGTGCCTCATCCTGTCTGCAGCCGTTTGAGGCAGATGTTGTGTACCAAGGCCACGGCACCTTTCACTGGCCGGACTCCACCGAGTTTGAGGGCCGCTGGCAGAGGTCGGAAGTCGTTGGGTCCGTGCCCCGGGGCAGGATTGTGCCGAAAACAAGCTAAACGACGGCGACGATTTCTGTGTCGTGAGGCCTGGAACTCACCGCTTCGCCGCCCGCGGCCTGGAAGTACTAGCTAGATCACACCCTTCTTGGTGCCCGGACTTCAGGACGGGACGTGCATCGCCGGGAGCTTCGAAGACTGTGGAGCTGCGTGGCTTCATATTGTACCAAGACAAAACGGCATCCACTGGTGCTGCTTTTATGTCTTCAGGCAACAGGAGAAGGAACCAAGACCTGGGCAAACGGTTGCTAACCCCTGAGATGTTTCAGGTCGGCGTTTCCTTCGGGTGACATGCATGAGACTGAGTGGCTCAGCAGAGGCAGCTATGCTGGCAGGCTGTTGCACAACCAGCATGGGTCCAAGCTTTGAAGCTCCCCGCACCTCTTTTATCCTGCTTTGACTTGAGCTGTCAAGGATACATCACTATGGTGTTCTGCGGTGGTCAGACGGCCGTTGTTATGCACGGCGCTTGGATTTCAGCTCTCGTTTTGGAAAAAGTCGTCAACATGCAAATGCAAGCGCTGCGCTCTTTCGAGGAGCTTTAACACTATGCTGCAGTGAAGATGTGGGCTTTGATGAGCAGTAGTCGGCGAGCCCCATTCACGGGTGTCTAGAGCGCCTGTGGGAATATCTCCTTTGTTTGTTTTTTGCTTCCGCGCCGTTTTGTTGGTCAGCACTTCTTCGTCTTGTATCTTCTGCCGCTTGTTTTGAGCTGCCTTGCGCTGCTACTTGTGCTCGCTCATTCTGTGTTCTGTTCGCGTTTTTGCTGCTGTCTTCTGGCCTTGCTCATTGTTCTTCCACTTCCGCATTTCCCTCATTGTCTTTGTGGCCCAATGTGATTGATGGTGGGCAGATAGTGTACTCGCAAGGGACTGCTCAAGGAACCCGTGTGCTGACGGTACCTTAGCTTCAAGACCTATGTTGGGTTGACTCGCGTGGCCTGGTCCAGCCAGCCCAGTTGACTTTGCGCAAAAACTGATCTGCTGACCGGCAGCTGGGTGGAACATGAGCCGGAAAAGAAAGTCAAGCGGCAAGGCAGCGAGAAAAGTAGATTTGGTTTTCATGTCCTGCCGGGGTCGGCATCGGAGACTTGAGGTCGTATGCGGTACTTCTTTTCTAGTGATTCCAGTGGTCGTCGGAAGTGTACTGCAGACAGCGTGCAGAAAGCGCTTTCGTGATTGCTCAGTCAGAACCAGACTTCCATGATAGTTGAGAGTTGGCACGCAATAATAAATAGCCCGGCCGCAGCCACACACCCGTGGTTGGGTTGCAACATGTGCATGTTGCCCGGCAATCGCACGTACTCGGCACTGGACAGCCTGAAAGTTGCAGGGACTCGCCGAAGGGTTTTGCCTCGGAGCCTCGTAGGTTTTCCTTGCCCTCGCTGCCGTGATTGCGGTTGCGCGGTTGCGGGTGGAGTTGGAGCTTGGCATGTGCTGTCCCAATGAGCGAGGTCAAACCTGTTTCGGCCTGCCTGGGTTTGAATCGTCCCAGAGAACCGAAACATCAAGGATGCCCACTGTTTCCCGATCGCAAATTGCACGATCGCGAAGCGGACGCTCTTTTGAAGGACCCCAGCGTGGCCCTCTGACCCTCTGGGTTCGGTTCTGCGAGTTTTTTGGGTTTCGGGTGGGTGCCGTGGCGGATGAGGCTGTTGGTATTTCTCCAGTCGGAGAGTGACCAAGCTATACAACCTCGCACAGGTGGGTCACTTCAAAGATGAGGCCATGCATGGCGTGCGAGGCCAAGACTTAAGATATCTTGAGACACTGAAGAGGTGCATTGCGAGTTCTCTGAGCTCCGGTTAGGTTGGGATGCTTACCTGGAGCGACAGCATGGGCACATGTGTCTACAAGGTGACGCCTAGAAGGGGACATGCGATTCGTGGGAGGGGGGTGGTGCTCCCTCTTAGGGCTACTTCGAGGAGAACTGCTTCCATGGCCATGGCCGTGGCCCAAAGCTTTGCAAACTCTGCCGTGCCGTAGAGATCGTGCGTGCGTGTGTGTGTGTGTGCTGTGTTCTTTTTGCGTAGTTCTCTCTGACGCGCTCGCTCCCGCTGCAGACAGTCAGACAGTTTCGGCCCACAGTCACAGTAGCCACGACTCAGCGCCGAAAGCCGTCATCCGTGTTCCAAGCCACATAGCATTACGGAGCCCTGGCGCCCGACTTTGTGAGCTCTCTCTGTGCCATGCCGCGGGCTGCGACTTAGATGCACTGTCGAGACCGCCACAAACGAACGAATCCACAAGAGCACCTCCCGCAAAGGCAGGACTGCTGCACAGCCTGGGCCAGGCATCATCAGAACTTCAAAGTGAGCGACTTGCTTGCATCGCAGCTTTCAGATTCAGGAAAGAAGAATCGATTAGCTTGATTGTCGTTCATGTACATTGGAAGGGCATTCGCATGCTCGCGAGCTTACACAACCTTTACCTGAGGTTCTTTGGTGGAGTGAAGGCGCAGCTTTGAGTTCTTCATGTGTTAGGTGCTGCAATCGCGACTGGTTCGTGCGGCATGCCAGCTCGAGCCCACAATGTCATGCGAGGAAAGCTCCATGACATGCTGCTGTGGAGGGAGGATGGCAAAGACGACCACCAAGGTTCCATGGAGTGTATAGGCTTGGAAATGAATTGCATGAGGTTCCTGGGTATTAGCCCAGGCGTATCAAGACCTTGAAGAAGCCGAGCGGGCTTTGGCATCGGCCGCGAACGGCGAGTCTCGGTTGAAGACTGCCCGTGCATACATCGAAGCAGCATCGGCAAAGTGTGTCGCCGAGGAAAATCTCGACGGCCGGCCTTTGGCGGATGCTGGCGCCAGATCCGAAGAAGCTCGAGCGACAGGAGCTCAGAGTAACACTGTCAGCCATTTCAGTGAATGGGAATAGATCTTGACCAAGTGTACGCCTGATGCTTTCAGAACACAGCACACAGTGTGAAGCCCTGGGAAAGCACGAATGCTGAATGGGATGGCAGAATCCCCGGCCTCGTATGCACGGCAGTCACTCACAACAGCTCGCGGCAGACTCCGAAGCCTTGAATGAGGTGGATGCAACATATCATATACGATAGCTCAGTACCCTAGGCTTCCTTCCTTTCTTTCTTCCAGCACTACAGTACGTATGTTCCTTCGCAGCCATAGCTGTCTGAGTTGCTGATGGAATTCCCTGCCCCTTTCCCAGGTATTTGGATCCGTTGACGGAAAGAGGAGCAGTTGCAACATTCGTTTTTGTGAGCAGCTGCTTGGGTCGCTGGCCAGGACCCGCAGATATCCTTGAGAGAGAAGGCCCCATAGACGCCGAAGAGGTAGACTCTGTGCAGAGCAGCTCGCCCGACTTATATAGAAGGCTGAAGACGGCAGCGAAGCTTGTGCCGAAACAAGGTGCTACTACCAGGACGGACTTTCCAAGTCCTCCCGGGGAGGCCGATGTCTGCTTTGGACATGATGGCTTTGCATTTGCAATTCACATTTTGCCGAGCGTATTTGACCGTCCAGGGCTCAATGCTGCCAGTACTTCCAGTCCCTCAGCTGAACGGACGGCTCAGGGAGATTTGCACAGCCAGCTTCAGATGTGCAAGTGTTGTCGGAAAGTCAGTGCGTCGGCCGCAGTTGCCAAAGCGAGGTTATGCTCCTTGCAGGCAGGTGCTTGCTGTCGGATTGGCTCTGCATGCGAGCCCGTGTGCGCTGCTGTGAGGCAGGCAAGCTCCAGACTTCTTCTGAACGCTGGCGGTGGCGAAACTGATGGCATGAAGCTGTACCATGCATGTGCCCGCAGCACAACTGTGGCTGTAAGGGTTGTGGCCGGTATCTTTCATATGTGATGCCGCAGGCTTTGAGGACATGGGGTTTGGTCGGGAAAGATGGGAAGACAGATCTTCCGGATGAGCTGATGCCTACATACCTAGAAGCATAGGGTCGAGTGCATGGGTTTGATGCCAGAAGCTGCATAGATAGACAGTTAGGCGTGTAGACTGGATTAACATACGGCGACTAGAGACACAAGTGCACAAAGTTAGTCGCACATGTCCTGCTACATAATGACCGTACGGGCAGGTAAAGCATTCAAGGGACAGATCGGCTCTCTTGGATCAAAGCTATAGGTACAGCTAGAACTACAGGGATACAACACATCGACACTATGCTGGATATGCATGTGAATGGGTAGACAGGTCGAGCCAGAAAGCACTTGATGGGTCAGGATGTCATAATCTGTGCAATGTTTAAGCTAGGCGCACCCTACCAGCGAGTACAAAGCAGCAAGCTTTCGGCAATGATGGGTCCAATAGGTTCAGTGCTGAGCTTTTTGTAGCTCTCTCACTCGGGCACTGCTCTGGCACGAACCTTGGCAGAAGCGTTATTTTGCATAGAGCTTGCGCCCGTTGCCTCAGAAGTGCAAACGGTCTCAGGCCAAAGTTGGCATGGCAGCTGGCTGGCCGACTGTCTGTGCTTGTGCGACTGCTGTCCAGCTCCAGTTTTCTTCAAAAGAACTTCTTGCAAGGTACGCTGGGGTTCCTCGCCATTGAAACCGGGGCAAGCGATGCACTGCCTCTTGCGCTTCCAGTGCCCTTCGCGCAGGCCCGTAGATACGCCGCTGGCTCTCTACCACTCGAGAGGCCCTGATAGGAGGTCTCGGGACGGGTCCAGACGCTTCAAGGCGGCGCTGTGGGCTGCCGAGCTGCCAGCCCTTCGTCTCTGTGACCTCGGTGTCGATGATCGGCAGGAGGCAGCCATCACATGTCGGAACCATTCGGAACTCCACTGACACGATGACATCTTTTTCGAAGCATGCAAATAGAGATTCGTGGGCGGTTGCAGACAGGGTCAATGGAAGAGCTGAAAGGACACTGCGGCATGATGCGGCATGCCATATGCCTGGGGGGCTGTTGGGAATTCGGAATAAGCATGAATGAGCTACATCTGCCGGCCAGGGCTGCCCAGCTCAGCCCGAGCATGGCGGTGCCGGGTTTCTTTCTACTGTCTTCACGTGGCGGTGCCTCGGTTTTTCTCAGACAGTGTCATGCAGATGCCCACTGTATTGCGACGTTGGCTCAGCTTGTGGGCTGTTTTTATGGGATGTAGTCAATCTTGATCGGGGGCGTCAACGTGAATCGTCGTGGTCGCCGTCAGCTTCGTTCTGATGGCAGTTCTGTTGCCTTGCTCCCCGTTAGCGTAGCCTCATCCTTATTCTGAGTCTGCATCTCATGCTGCCTCAGACATGTCGCCTTGCTCTTCTGCTGTGCTTTGGAAATGCTTTTGGTTCAACCCGAGCTTCGCAAATTATGGTTTTTGCCATTCTCATCTTGGAAATCCTGGTTCGGGCAAGAGTCATGATGTGGGGATGTTCGGATGCTCTCCTGGCGTCAGAATGTCTTGGGTGTGTGAACCGCTCTCATCTTCAGCAAGAGCTGCAGTTGTCTGCGGAGCTCCATGCTGTGAATCCGTCCTGGCTATGGTTGGTTTTGCCTTGCGAAAGTTGCTCTCGAGCAGGGTCCCTGCGGCAGGGACGTAGCTAGATCAGAAGAGGTACGTCCTGAACAATCTGCGGGCACTCCTGGCCGCCGAGGCGGCTCTCCGTTGGGCTCACTGCTAATGCTCTGATGCTCCGAGCTTCCAGGCGCCAGGCAGCTCGTCGCTTCCGAGTGGGGCAACGCAAGCCATCCTCTCCCTGCTGCAAGCACTTGCTGCCTTGACAAAGTTAGAATCACTCAGATGATTTATGTCCGGCAGATTGAGACAGAATGTGTGAATCACGGAGGATCGTCTGATGCAGATGCCGATTGTCGCACAACTGGCAGACAGATGCTGAGCATAGGCTTAGAGCGTTTCAATTTTGTGTGGTGTGCAGAGGAGCAGTGTCTTGGCTGGGCGTCCTCTCAGGACATTGCCATCGCGGCTCGTCAGCTTCTGACCGATCTCAGGCCCAGCGGGACTATGGTGCTGTCTGCTTTGGTCTTGGATGGTTCCGCCTGAGCCCAAAGGCCGCACTTACAAGCTCGACCACCTCTCGTTCTCATGGTTCCAACGCGGCCGCCTACTGCCACCATCCAAAGCATGCAAGTGCTCGCAGGATCTTCTTGCTCTGCGCTTCCGGAGCCCACAACAAAACAGAGTCAACAACTAAGGCATGTGGGCCGGTATTGGACATGGCCAGCTGATGGTCGGACCAGCATCCGGCTTATACATACTGCATATTTCGGTTTGAGTCGTGTAGCCTAGCATAGTTCAGGCTTGCGCGATGCCGCCTTCACATTGCGTACTGGGGCTCAGATGCCGGCGATTGGCTTTGGTACCTGGCGCCTGTGGGCGAAGGACGCGTACCAGCCCGTCCGCTGGGCACTGGAGGTAGGCTACCGGCACATCGACACGGCTGAAGGCTATGCCAACGAGGCAGAGATTGGCCGTGCAATTCTGGACAGCGGTGTCCCCCGGGGCGAGATTTTTCTAGCAACAAAAGCCTCATCAGTGCCAAAAGGACTCGCTGATATTTCCTATGCATCTGATATTTTTGCATTCCAGCTTGCGCAGCTCGGGACGGATTATGTAGACCTGTACATGATGCACACACCGCCATCCGACCCGCAACTGCTACAACAAGTGTGGAGAATTATGGAGTCTTTCTACGAGCAGGGCCGGGCAAGGGCACTTGGCGTGTCCAACTGTGACGTGCGAGAGCTGCAGCAGATTCTTGAGTTCGCAACCGTTCCTCCTGCTTATGTGCAAAACCTGTTCAAGATCTATAAGCCCGGTGAGCAGATTCCAGTTGAGGATGTTATTGCCTTTGCGCATAGAAATCATTTAGTCGTTGTGGGATACTCAGTTCAAACGGAATGGCCACACATCATGGTGCCATTGCAAGATCCACACCTTCTGACGATTGCCAGCCACGTGGGTAGAACACCTTCCCAAGTCTTGCACCGTTGGACGCTTCAGCGTGGTGTCGGTGTCATCCCAA